ACAGTCAACGATCGGGTGGTGTGGCTGTCAGATACCGGTCCCGAGTTTGGTTGTGTTAAATGGTTGGGCAAACTGCCAGACGTGGGACCCGATTGGATGGCTGGCGTGGACTTTGTGAACCCGATAGGCGAGGGAACCGGTCTTCACAACGAGCACCGGCTGTTTTACGCTCCTTTAAATCACGCATCACTGGTACCGGTGTTGGGACTCATGAAAGCCGACGACTACTTGTGTCCAAACAATCCCTTTAATGGCGATCTCTTCACCGATAGTGACGCTCATGTCGTCACTCACTTGAGACGGTATAAGAAGAATAAGACATGAATTGAGAAACAGTTTATTGGACGAGAAGTTACGATAACTTTCTTATAGATTACAATCAATTGTATTGTAAAACATATTAATTATAATGAGTTTGAGAGTAATATATAAAAGTATTTTCAAGTGTTTAATGAATAGATTTTAATGAATAGAGTAAATAAATGTTTGTTTGAGAAATGAGTTATTAATGAAATGAAAGTCTGATAAGAAATGTCTACAAAAACCTCAACTCTTTGTCTGATTATCAACGACTTCTACGGTCTCGAAATCGTAGACACTTTCCGTCAAAAGTATCGACAGATTGAGATCTTTCTTGAGTTGAGCCGTAAATGCCGTCAAATCCTTCAGAAGTCTCTCCCTTTCGGCCAACGCTTGTGTCGACTTGTCTTTCAGTATATTTCTGTACGAATGCATCGGCTTTTCGGTCATCACATCCACACTCGTATTCAGTCCTCTATTCACTCTCCTGTTGTTCCCATCGATTGTCCGCCTCTTCACTGATGCATAAGAAGTGAAAAACAAAAACAAATGAATCGATTGAATGACAAACAGAGTCAATGTCTGAAGACATACTCATAGAACAACTGAACTCATCGTTCCGATCGTTATTGACATCGATATGCATATCGATTATCTTCACCGCTCTCTCCATCACATCCAACAATTGAATCGCCTTTTCGTCCGCGAGAACTGAGAACTGTCTTGAAATCCGTGACATTTTGTATGCATTTAATGCTATTCTTGTGGTGATTCAAGTGATCCACAATTTCGAAGCACTTCCTCCGGATCTTCACTCGACTGAATCGCTGACAACCGAATTGGCTGTCCTTCAGATCAAAGAACACTTTGCGTTCATCGAAACGGGTCTTAAGTTTCTTCAATTCATTCAATTGAAAGACAAGAATATTCTGTCGCTTCTGCCGGTCATCGCAGTTGACATCCATTTCGCGAAACGACTCCAAGAACTCGTTGAGCGTCTCTATCAACTTCTGGTGCGTCTTCTGCAGCTCTAATCTTCTGCAGTCGCATATTATTGCCGGGACTGTCCTTACCATCGATGATGACATCAAACGGTGATCTCCGCACATCACTCGCCACTTGATTGCCGTGTAATCACTTCATCGGCGGTGCACTTGATTTTTGGCTAAACGTCGCGTGAAGTACTGAATGACAATAACTGATGAAATTAAGAAAAACTTTTTAAACGCGTGGAAAATAAATATGTGACCAAGGTTGTGTTAAATCTATTGAAATATTTAAATTCTTGCGGTAAATTAATTTTGACTTATTGTATATAAATTATCATTTTAATTATTAAAGTTTGGTTAAATAATTGTTTGATTTTTGATTTATAATCTCATTTTGGTTCTCAAAAATGTGTTTTTAAAAAAAATTAATACCCAATACTTGCGTCAATTGAAAGTATTATAATTAAAAGTATACAAAGTATTTAATAACATTTTGTAATATTAATAATATTTAATTGTATTATCAATTCATTGGTCACAATGTCTTCGAATGGACTCAATCGACGCGAAAGAGTTGTCGATAGGAATGGCGACACAAATGAGGAGAACGTGTCTCGAGTGGTGTCTCAAGAAGTTTCGCCCGAAAGACCACAAAACCAGAGTATTATGAAGCGAGTGATGAGTCTAATGGCACTCTCGATGGCTATTCTTGTAGTGGTTTACTACACGACTCAATGCAATGACACCAAAGAACTAATGATGGCTTCGGCCACTCAATCCATAACGGGTTCGCCGGTCGGACAACAAGTGATGTGTTCTTAAGACTATAACGAAGACAGAGTTCGGTTCCCGTCTTGTGCTCCTCGAAGATGCGGACGTTTTGTGTCCGATTCGGTGATCACTGAATCGGAAGTCAAACACTTGTTGTCAGTGACGAAGAGAGGCCTATCATTGGGCGGCTCTTCGGGCGGCGCCTCTTTCTTCAGCTTACATTCGGGCGACCTTTCGATGGCAACTAATTTCGTGAAGATCTATAAACTCATGGATAGTACACAACAAACGGAAGAGCTGTTCACCGAAAAAGACTTTGAAGTCTACAGAACTGTGACGAACAGAATCCGCAAAACGATTGCAATTCATTTCGGCATCTCTTCGGCTCAGCTCTACATAACGATTATGACTGTCTTCCGAAGAAGTACGGCAAAGAAGCCCCAAACCAAACACGACGTGTATTGGCGCCGACACGTCGACAAAAGGGAACGTAAAGTGCGAACAATTCACTTCTTCGCTGTATTTGTCGACATATGGCGCGGACTTCTCCGGCGGACGCCTTATATTGACGGACGAGAAGTCGAACCAAACAATTGAGCCTAAGTTGGGACGAGTCTCGGGCTTCACGTCGGGCTCAGAGAACGAGCACTTCGTCGAGAGGGTCACCAACGGGACGAGATATGCTTTGGTTATGGCCTTCACCTGTGACCCCGAGTTCGCCGCCAAAGATCCACAGATTGTTAGGCCGCAGACACGCGTTCAACCATTTTGTTCGTTGCATAGAGTAGGCTGTCCACGCTTGAATTTACTTAAAAAAACCCAAACAGTAAAATGCAGACATTTAATTTAATTACACAAACGACAAATATTTCATTGAAAGTGTCCCATATTTCTAAACTTAAATGTGTGACATTTATTGAGAAATTACTGTTAAACGCTAATAAATAATATCGGATTTTATTGTTTCGACTTATTTTCCTGTAATAACTATGAATTTTATCAATATTTAACTTTTTATATGTTGCACCTATTTCTTAATCCGACAGTCTTTGGGCCATATTTTCGTTTTTTCAATTACTAGGCAGTGCTTTAACATTGAAAACCGAGTCATGAAATTACATATTAATTAATTATTGAAATAAAATTAAAATGGATGAGCAATTAAATATAGTTAATAGAGATAGCAAACATGCCTTTAGTGAGAGCTAAATCACGGGTGTATTGGGATCTCATTTTTCCGAACCTCATAATAGACATATATTTTATTTAAGTTTATAATAAGTTAACTTTTAATTTATAAATACTACTTAAATGTGTTAATTAAAAAATTAATTTTGTTCTCAAGTGATGTAAGTACTACCAGAATATTCTGTGTATTCTATATATAAAAACACAATTCATAGTGCACAATATATCAAATAGTCTATAATGTTCACAATAGTAAATATCACGGAATATTCTTTATGTCTATTAAACAAATTAAATTAAATTATTTTTAAATTGATTTATAAAACAATTTCAATACAAATATAGAATTCAATCAATTTCTACGAACAGTTAATTACAGTACATTCATACTTTGATTCATACACTGACTTGTGAGTGCCTGTCCATACGGGCCGGATACTCAACCCCGGGATCTAATTGACAGTGAATTCTTGAGAATATTCTTAAGAAACTGTTAATTCAGTCAATTGTTCATTGAGTTCACCGTTTGGTTCATTCATTTCCACAATTATCTCATTTTTAACAGATTTATTCAGACATTTGGGTCCCATAATAGCGATAGCGATCGCACCTACAGGTGCTGTGATCAATATGGACAGTACGGCTATAGT